TAATTGCCGGTAACTCAGTTTTTTATTTATCTATCGTTACTTACTTAATTTTTTTTAAAAAACTTGGGATATTTTTTATGATGAAATGGTAGTTTATCTAACAATGATTTATTAAATTTTGTTCCAGGTGAGTAATCGTTGAAATTGAATTTATATATGTTACGGTGTTATCTGTAGATATACATGTATGAACAGATAGTAGAACAGCAATAGAGGATACACTTTAAACTGCTGAAGAAACTTTGGACGCTGTTTGAAACTGCGAAAATTGTTTATAACTGTAACTATTTTAATCTCGCGAATTGTATGAACGTGACTGTCCCTATTATGATATTTTATATTATTACAGAGAATTGCTGCGCCACACCAGACGTGAGAAGTACCAGGTGGAGAGATATTAAGTATTTTGTTGTATATATTCATATTAATATGTATGACGAGACGAGACTGCAATTATAAAAGTTGAGGAAGTATTTACTGAAAATAATTATTTTGATGATTGTAAATTTTTGATGTCAAATAAAAGGAATTATTGTCTAAAATGTGAAAAATTGAAAAATTTAATTAAAATATTGCAATGTTAGTCAATAAAATTGTAAAAAGCATTTGACAGGTCTTTGTTCAATAAAATGTCAATACTTGCATAAAAAAGTGTAAATAAAAATATTATGAACTTTTTATTTTACTTTGTATGTAAGTTTGAAACTTAATCAGTTATGAAATTCATTTTATCAAATTTAAGATGAATCAGACGCACTAGAGAAATATATAAATTGAATTTTTGCAACTTCAGCGCACGTGTACACATTTTTATCCATTTACTGGAACTCCGCAGTAATTCTGAATCTTTATCAAATCAACTTTTGTAGATATTGCGTTTTTTATTTACAAACTTATCTTGTTTATTTATAATAAACTTTTGAAAAATTTTTTCTTAAGAATAATAAATCATATAAAATTTAAACAATTATTTTATTTATTATTATTATTATTATTATAAAAGTCACTTACTTCGGTGTCTAGAAAATTTTCTGAATTTCTTAAAAAACGGCATTTTTACAATTATCGATAGTAAAAAATTGATAATTAATCAAAAATTTCTTAATACTAGATCAAAATTATTTAATCAATAATAGGATAATTTTGTATAAGTTTAAATAAAAATTCACAGATAAGCGCGGGATTTTATATAAACTATTTCCCGCGAGCAACGCATAACAACTGAACTGGATCTTTCTCTTTTACGAAAGAGACTGAACTGCAGAAACTGTAATGGTTAAGTATATAAGTATAAGTGTATAATAAATCTAGTGAGTTAACTGCACATGTATGATATATGTAAACATGTTAACATGTGAGCTCGTGATACACTTAACTCCACGCCTCTTCCCGTTACATCCTACAAATCTAGATCGATAGATCTATCGATGAACTGATAAATCTACTATCAACAACTTGTTAAGTAACGTTGTTTTTATATAATTTTTAATATAATCTATATTATTAAGAAAATAAGCAAATGGTTTCATATCATTCTCAAGAATAGTCAATTTATGATGAAAGTATTTAGGCTGCATTCGAAAATGCTCTATCTCTCGATATATAATTAAGAAATGACACTGTATCTCGTGAACTATTGACATTTTTAAAGATATAAGCTCATCCCGATGTTACACTCATCAAGACCTTTCATTTAAATACCCACATCAATTTTTCATATATTTTATATATTTATATATATTATATATATGTATGTATGAAAAATATATCAAAAATGCAAGTGAGTACTCAAATGAAAGCTCTTGATGAGTGTAACATCGGGATGAGCTTATATCTTAAAAAATGTCAATAGTTGAAAAAGTACAGTGCAATTAAACAAAATTCATTATTTAATAAAGTAAAATTTTATTTATTTATAGTTCACAAGTCACGGAAGTCACATAGTGACTGCAAAATTGCTAGTAATAATAATAATAATAATAATAATAATAATAATAATAATAATAATAATAATAATAATATATAATTATACTACGCAAGGTTTAGAGTTAAAAGAAATTAGCAGCCTGAAAGAGCAGACAGAAGGATGGAGGATGATGGATCATATAATTGATGGAAAACTAGATATAGCTTGAATTTAGCTTGAGGGAAGGTAAAGAGGGTTCGAAGCGTTCAAGTGCATACTTATGGTCCAGTGACGCAGGCACTCAGTCGTCTCTTTTGTTGTTGAACTTGCGAGCACAAGGGTCATAATAATTCCATTGTAATCCAACATTGCGTGAAACGCCAACGCGATTAAAATTACGTGAAAAACACTTGGCTGTTAAGTTTAGATAGTAAATCACATTATCATCATAATCATACTAAAAAAGTTAATCTTTTTAGTGCAACATAGCAATAAAAATCTATTTTTTAATTTTTAATTTAAAACCTTTTTATAAAAACTTAGTTGATTTTTTTGGCTAGTAAAATTTTTTTTTTATAATTATTCTTACAAACAATATTTTTTTTTGTAGTATTACTACCTACTAGTTCTCTATTGGGAGGTGTAACAATTGTAACTAACTCTAAATTAAATTTTAAGAACGTTATTTTTGTTCCTGACATTTGAAGTATTGTAAATATTCAATGAATAAAGATTCTATCAAAATAATAACGATAAATAATTACTTAAATTTCAATATTATTATTAACCTTTCACATTTGGCCTCGTTAAATAGATATACATTTACAGAAAGATTATCTGAGCCATATATTGTTAATTGAGTAATTATTGATAGCGCAAATGATATGTTTGATAAATATATGTATAGACAAATATCAAACAACGATTACAATAATAATCGTAAATGATTGTATTGCGTAAATTCTCGATATGTAAAATAATATTAATAATAATACTTTATTTATAAAATAACAAAATAAAATTTTCCGCTTATCAGATGCGTAATAATAAATAATAATAATAATAATAATAAAATTCAATAATATAAGGATGAATAAATAAAAATTCATAGATTGAGAAGTTGGTAGAATAAATAATTTATCCAGCGCAAGTAGCAAATGTTAATAGAATTTGCAGGTGCTTAAATGCAACTCGCGTTCGATCATAGAAATGGTAATGACGGATCTCTATGAGCTGTGAGGTACCGTAAAAAGTTTCTAGTTGGTTCGGCTCGATTCGAAATGGAAAATACTGCTTCAAAAACCTGGAGCTTGATATTTACGATAGGATGCTGCTGCGAATGTATAAATAAATATATAAAATTGTTTACCAATTGAAATGGGCCCAGCTACCGGGTACCGGAGATATCCGAGGGTGTTCCGAAAGATATACATATATTTAGTTTTAGTATCGGGATCGGGATCGGGGTAGATACGCTCTCTAGTCCTATCGATTTATGCCGTTTAAATATGTACATATTTGTTGTTTTATGTTGTAGTGAATTTGAAAAATATTTATATAGATGGATAAAGAGATAGAAAATCTTTGCTAGGAAAGTTATGTTTAGATTATAGCGAGTTTTAATGGGCTCGTATTTTTTTTTTTTAATTTATTTATTTAAAGTCGCCTTAACATCTTGGTCATTAGCGACTACGGCTTTAAATAATTTACTTGACGTTTCTTGCAATTTTTTATAATTTTTATTTATTTACTAGTAAATTTATAAATTTTTTATAAATCAAGTCAAAAGTTGATTTTAAAGATGTCCATTTTGTAAATTTCAACAGTTTTTATCGCAATATACTAGAATTTGATTGATTACTATAAATTAGTAAGAAAATTACATGAATTAATGTTGAAAAAAAAAAATTACCTTCATAATTTTGAAATTAATAGACATCTAAATGTTTTTGATATTTTTTTGACCAAATAAATTATTTTTAAAAATAATTATTTTCAAAAAAAAATTTCTAAATGCAATTTTTTTATTAAAAATTTTTACTTTTAATTTAAATGAAACGAAACTAAAAAATTGTCAGATCAAATTAATTTAATAAATGATTAATTAATTATTATTCCTCGTGAATGATTGATTAATAATTATTCCTCTTTTAGTGTCAATAATTAAAATTTTTACTTTTAAATAAATTTAATAAATGATAAATTAATTATTAATAAATATTTTTTACATAATCTAATGTTAAAGAATCATTTATCAAACTTGACAAATTTTTTTAAATATTAAAAAATTCTATGAAGGGATAAAAAATTTCTGATAATAATTATTCTTCCTTTAGATGTCAATAATCAAAGCTTTTACTTTCGAGTTTAATATAATATAGAAAAGGAAGTAAAATTTGAATTTTAATTTAATTTAAGACTCTGCTTGTCTATCGGATATCGAGAAATTCCTCGGGTGGTATATATATATATATATATATATATATATATATACCTCACCGACTAAATTGCTCCAGGGTAACCAAGATTTCGTGAAATTACTCATTCCATTTCCTTCAAAGTATTACGAAACTTTGGTGCTCGAGCGGAAATGTACGACAAATTCCACGAAATTGCATTTATGTTTAAACTTTTTCTCAGCGAACAATCTACGGTATTTAAAAATAAGTTTATAAAAAAAAAAAATTATAAAGTCAACTCAGGTTAAATTTGAATCTAAGCAATCAATTTCATAAATAGGTCAATTTAGATTTGATATATAATTAAATAAGTTATAATTACGGTCGATGAATATATGATAGGTTTATTTGAATATTTATTGAAGGTAGTAATTACGATTGCAATGCTCGATTTACTAAGTGCTAGTAATGGTTATGTCGATAATCTAAGCTATGAGTTTGAATAATCGATATAATATTAATTACGAAATTATTAACACTTAATTTGATATTGAGAAAATTAGTTATATACCTGCATATAAATTAATTATTAAAGATAATTTGAACGGATTGATTTTATTTATTGAAAGTAAATTAATAAAAATATATACTGCGTCAATAGAGTTGATCCCTTATCAAATTATAAATTAAAATTGATGGCACCAGTTGAACGTGTGCGTTACAAAGAAATAAAAATAAAAAAGGGTGAAAAATTCGCTCGAACAAGTTAATTAAATTTTCAACAAGTGCGAATGAGAGAAGCGAGATATGGAGCGACAGTTTTTCGTGTCGCGAATTAAAGATGCGGACGTGCTCTCTGATAAAAAAATTTCGCGCTAATCTAATTTCATCGCGAAATTTAATAACACTCTTCTCTAGTTTTTTTTTAGAGTTGCTGAAGATTCACTCTCGGGAAAGTCAAGCTGTACATTTTTTAAATTTCCTGAAAAAGTTTTTAATTTTTCTTTATCTGTTAGAAATTATTTAATAATAATTATAATTAAAATTAAAATTTTAATTGTTAATTAAAAAAATTTTAAACAATTTTTTTTTTTAAATGAATAATAGTGTTGTTAAATTTATCAAGAAGAATTCTGTAAATTTTTTTATCTCAGCCTGGAAAATACGAATTTACGGAAAATGATCATTTTGATTAAAACTGCTTTTTTTAATATAAGTTATTATAAGTATTGCTAGATGGCGGTACTTATTCTTCTCGGAAGTGTAAATATTGATAATAATTGTTTCTACGATACCGATTTCACAAATTAATTAATTTATAAAACTAAAAATTTTTTTAACAATTCCGATTTAAAATAAATTATTTATAAAAATAATTTATAAGAAAAAAAAGGTTTAATTTTACAAAAAATGCTGTACGACCTTATTTTTTTTTACAAAAAATTGAAAAAAAAAATTAATTTAAATCAAGAAAAAATTTTTTTAACGAATAAAAAAATTTTTTAAACAAATAAAATATCCTTAAAGAAAAATTTCTTAGTTTAAAAATTTTTTTCTTGAATAAAGTTGATTTTTTTTCGTGGTCATTCTTTTTAAATTTTGTTCTTTGCTGTAATGGTCACGTGGTTTAATTAATATGTACATGTACATAAGCTTTGAAATATAAGTATGTAACCTTAAAGCAAATCATTTTGTTATGAAATGTGTGGGTTGTTCCTAAAAAAATTTATAAAACTTAAATATCTTCTTACAACCATTATCATCTTCTCAAGTATTATTACTATCCAAGTAATTAATTTACTCTCGCCCGATATATTAGAATTGACAGAACTTTCAAAGTGTCCTGCGTGTTACGGAACTACCGCGTGCGCAAAAATATTTGACAGTGATTTAAAATTTGAGTTCTATGATCTTTTCACGACTTTATCGCACTTGTTTGCGGCAAAGAATGTTTTTTATGCTACTCTAGAGGGCACTAGAGTTGTTCTGAAGAAACTCGCTCATGATAATGAATTTTATTTATTCGATCGCATGATTTGCGAAAGTGAAAAATTTAAGCATTTATGTATTGACAACATTAATAAAAATAATGTTGAAATTTTTGATGAAGAATACTATTTATCATTAATTGCATCCGAGGTATCTCTTAATTTTACCAGTGGAAATTCTAAATTAATTTTGTGTCCAAATACGGGACACTTGAAAAATATTTTAAATTTATCAAAAAATTATGCGGTTTATGAAAATGAACTGATTAATTTATGGACATTAATTAAAATTAATCCTGAGCCCATTATTCTTCAGGCAAGTAAAGTTTTTTTAATGATAATATAATTTTAAATGAAGAAATCAACATAATATTAAACCTAACAAATAAATCATTATAAAAAAATTTTAATTCTACAAATTAAAAAAAATATTACAAGTGCAAATTTCTTAAAAATATTTTTTTTTTATAATTTATATGTAATAAAAATATACTTAAATTAGTTGATACTTGAAAAATTTTTTTTGTACTTGTAGATCCTGAAAGCCGATGAAGGATGGCCGGTAGCCAAATTCTACGGCGCTTGTGGCCGATTAGTAGTAGAAGAATACGCGGGTCTACCTCTGACAGTTTATTATCAGGAAGGATGGCTACGGCGAGCCAAAATTGCAATCAGATTACTTGAATCAGCTCATGAATTCACATTCCGTAATCCAGAATACTCGTTCTATCTGACCGATTTATTATCTGATAACATTGTCATTGATGAAAGCGATAATCCAGTGTTCATTGATCTGGAGAATATAATTATTCTGCACCGGAATATTCCCACTGAAGGTAATCATCATCATCATCATCATCATCAGTTCCAAACTAATTAATTCTCAATAGAAAAATGTAAAATAAAATATTTTTTCAATTCAAGAACAACCACAACACTGGAGCTCCATACATACCAGTGATAGCATTGACTGTGATAATTGTTTTTTATTCTCTCCTAATGACATTTGCAGGCATCACATAAGCGATCACAATTATTATTCTGTTTGCCAGGTGTGTAATCAAAATAACTTTTGAAGAACTGCTAATTATAGCTAGTGGATTAATAATTATTATTATTAATCCAGCTTCTTTTTTTTTCAGTATATTTTATCAAGTAAATCAAACGAGAATGGTTTTTTACATTCTATACCTTCTGAAATTATAAAAAACTACCCGGAATTGAAAATCATGATCGATGAATGTGCATCGCCTCGAAGATCAAAGTCACGAATCGAAGCCGGGAACCAATTGAAAGAAATTTTACAGCGTATTTTAAACGAAAATTAAGTTAGCCAACATATAAAATTTTTTAGAATTTTTTTTTGTTGAAAAAATGATTAGAAAAGTAGAAAAAACTTGATAAACTTTAAGTGCAATTTTAAAAAAATATTTCTTAGTTCTAATTTAATAATTAAAAAATTAAAAACGTCGGCTAACTTTAGTGTTGTGTGTTTTAACAGATTTGAATTAAATAAACAAATATTTTGTATAAAAATTGATTTATCTAAAAAAAATTATTACTTTTTACATTAAATTATTCAGTCATGGTACAAAAATCTATGTACATGAAAAGGCTGCAATATCACAAAAAATATAATAAATATGGTACATGCTTTCCTCTTTAATACTTTACCCTGAACGAATTTACTAACATTTATGACATAATAAAAATCGCGGGCTATACACATCTAAGTAACTATAAAAATCACACAAAAATAAATAGATCATTTTGATTTTTTAAAATATTGACTGGAAATTACTTTTTTTTCAAGTGCTTATCTTTTATACCACCGAGTACTCTTTTTATTTTAACACCCCGTAATGTTTCTTTTTCTTTTTTCAATGAATTTAGCAGCATAAAATTGAGATTTGTTAAAAATTCTATGTCTTTTTCTTTATCTTCAATGTCTGCTTTTAGTCTATCTATGATGAAATCCTTGTTGGTCTCAAACTCTTCTAGCAGGTTGTCCGCTGATGGTCGCTCATTAGGATCAGCAATTAGTAGCTTTATGATCACTTCAGCCTGGTAAAAAAAATTACCAAATTTATATTTAATAATTATTTAAATAACAATAATTTAATAATTATTTTATTGATATGGCTTACGTATTTTTTGTACTGCTTATCCAAAGAATCAGGAATTTTTCCTTGCTTTAATGATCTTACTATATCATTAAGCTCCATGAAAGTTGTTGCTGGATATATTAACTCTACAAGGATGATTCCGAGACTATACAAATCACTCTGTAAAAAAAAATATGTATTTAATTACAATACCTAGTTAATAAGGGTATGAAGAAATTTATTTTATAATAAAAAATACCTTTGAATCACAACTACCATTAAGTTGTTCAGGCGCTGCATACATTTCAGTCCCAACTGGTTTATGGCCATCAGTTTCTTTAGATAAGCAAGCTAGACCAAAATCTCCGATCTGTATTTGAAGTTTTTTTGATGTTGAAATAAAAATATTACCCGGCTAAAAAAAAATAAATTTTTAATACTTAATAATTTTATTACGAAAAGAAAGATAGAAAAATCGAATGAAAAAAAAAAAAAATAATTACAATTAATAAATAGAAGTAAAATATGTAAAAGACGAAAGTCGTGCAAAAAATTTTTATTATTATTATTTAATAATTTTATTTTGTATTTATTTTTATTAAAAAAAATTAAGAATTAAATACTTAATTTTACTACTAAAAAATCATTTAAAAATTAAATCAAAGATCTATTAAAATAGTTACTTTAATATCATGATGAACAATGCCACGCGAATGAATGTATTGCAAGCCCATTAAAATTTGCTTATATATTTCATTAATTACTGATTCCGGGCTGGTTTCATTTGCTTTATTTCTTTTATCCAACCACTTTCTCAGTGTCTGCTCACATAATGCCATTTGAATGTACAGAGTTAAAACATCTGGTCTCTGAAAAATTGATAAATTTTCATGAGTTATTTTTTTAATGTTAATTTAACGAAAAAAAAAAAAAGATATTTATTTACAAGTGGGGTCAACCTATGCTACACAGAAAGAACAAGATAACACTGAATATCCTCCCAGATTATACTGAGTGAAAAAAAATTTCAGATGGTAGTTCACGCAGAATAATTTGGATTTTTCTAGCTACTATCTGAAATTTTTTTCACCACTGATATCTGGGATGATATCCAGTGTCATCTTGTTCCTTCTGTGTAGTCTATGTTAAATTTTTTTTTTTTTGATCAATTTTTTGTTTTTTTACGTACTTTTCAAAAAAAATATAAAATAGAAATTTTATCCAAAAATATGAGAGCCAAAATTTTGTCCAACTCGTAAAAATAAGCAGAATAAATAAAAATTTTGAAAATGTTAATTTTTCACCCACTTGTAAATAATTACCAAAAAATAATATATCTTTAATATAGAATAAAAAAAATCTTACAGGTTTGTATTCGCAAACTTGTTGACTATTTCTTTTTAAATTAGAATTATTTTCTTCAATACTATTTTCTCCAACATCAATTTTTTTTATATCATTTTTTTCAATACAATATTCTTCTCTACTACTTTTGTCTCCATCATCAGAATTAATTTCTCCAATATCAATTTTTTTAATATTATTTTCTTTAATACAATATTCTTCTGAACTACTTTTGTCTCCATCATTAGAACTATTTTCTTTAGAACTACTCGCTGAGGGAGGACTATTGCTATTAGAATTACTATTTTCTTCTCTAAAGACAATAAACGAATCAATAGACTCAGACGAATTGGAATTACCGATACTTTTATCATTAAAACGACTAATTCCTTTATTAATCACTGGCGGCTTGAGTTGACCATGAAAATCAGCGTCATTATTTTCACAAATATTTATCTTGCTGCCATTACTGTTACTACTACCATCACTATCGCTATCATTATTACCATTAGTCCTAATTTCGACAGTACTAGAGCACCCGGATTCTTTGGAATCTCTTACAGACAATTTCCTGAAGCAGTTAGATAGCTGCGATGACTTCTGAGGCGAGTTATCACGACTATTATGATGACTATCAATATTTTTACTACTAGCTGTCGACTCATCGTCTCCGGAGTCTGGAATAAGAGGTACATTTTCTAAAGGACCATTTTCGATCCACGCATTTCTGTATGATATTATATTTCTATGTTGCAATCTGGCTAGTGTCTTTACTTCTTCTAGTATTTTTAATATTTTGTAAGACTTTTCACGTGTTACACAAATTTTTTTAATGGCGTACTCGTGTTGGTCAAGATGGTGACGAGCTTTATAGACATTTCCAAAACTACCGGATGCGATAAATTTTATTTCCTCAAAATCATTTTTGTATCGTGTACTGCTCACTGGATTGCTAATCGTAAAAATAATCAAAAATATAATAATTATTTTAATTAAAATTATGAATTAATACATTATAATTATTAAATTAAAAGACATTTGGTTTATTTTTTAAAAGATGAATTATGAAAAAAAATTTCCACTTGTAAAAATCATCAAACTTTTTTAGAATTATTTTGTTAATTAAATAATGACTTTTATTAAATTGCACTGTACTTTCTTAACTATTGATATTTTTAACGATATAAACTCATCCCGATGTTAAACTTATCAAGAGCTTTCATTTGAGTACCCACTTACATTTTTGATATATTTTTCATATATACATATATATAATATATATAAATATATGAAAAATTGATGTGGGTACTCAAATGAAAGGTATTGATGATTATAACATCGGAATGAGCTTATATCTTTAAAAATGTCAATAGTTCACAAGATACAAGGTCATTCTTTAATTATTGACATTTTTAAAGATATAAGCTCATTCCGATGTTACACTCATCAAGAGCTTTTATTTGAGTACCCACATCAATTTTTCATATATTTATATATTTATATATATTATATATATGTATATATGAAAAATATATCAAAAATGTAAGTAGGTACTCAAATGAAAGGTATTGATGAGTGTAACATCAGGATGAGCTTATATCTTTAAAAATGTCAAAAGTTCTCAAGATACAAGGTCATTTCTCACTTATGTATCTGGAAATAGAGAATTTTCGAAAGCAGCCTAACTTATTATAATAAATTTTAAAATAAATAAAATTTTAATAGAGTATATAAATAAAAGTTATCAATAAAAATTATATAAAAAAAAATAGTTAAGAATTTTAATTACCTCGGATTAGGTATAATGTCATTAGCAGTTAATACTGTCTTTATAACATCGCATAATATTTTAAATTGATTAGCAAGCTGATTTATAGCATCTGACTCACTAGGATTATCAATTATTTCTAGTTTCCCACATATGTCTTTAAAACCTGGAACAATATAAAATATAATTATAATTACTAAAAGAAAAATAAAATTAAACATAATAAAATAAATAATAAATTACACATACTTGAATGCATACGATCCCTAGTAGTCTTCTTATTTTTTTTCAACATATCACAAATTTCTGTCAACAAAGTAATAAACACCGTCGATGACATTGACGATGAAGCAACCGGGACGACTTGTGCATTCGCCGACGAATTACTTTCATTATTTTGTTCATCTGAAATAAAAAGTAATAATATGAATAAATTACAATGAATAATAATTATTATAAATACTTAACTTGTTTATAAATTTAGCGGCAACTTAACAAAATTATTTTTATGAATAACAAACCTTTTGGAGTATATAAATTGCTAAGTAACTTTACGATCAAGTTGTAAATATCTTCATTCTCCATTATTCAAAATTTGGAAGTAATTACATCAATTAGAGAGTAAATTTTGCGTGATAATTTTATAAATAATAACATTCACTGGTCGAATCTTGTACGGCAGCCAAAGACAGTTAAGTGCTTAATAAATTTTTAATTTAATATCTTGAATGTTTAAGTACCGCACTTTTATTAAAATTTAGACGCGAATGATATGAGACTGGTGTTATATTATATTACTTATTTATTACTTCATCACTATCACATTCTGTTGGTTATGATGCACATGGAGTCATCGCACAGAAACAGAACATGTGTATTTAGTCTAGAATATTCCGAAACTGTTTACGGCTATTTTATATATCTGTATTTATGTATTTATATTTCCACTATTTTTACCAACTGTTACTGCTGTAGATAATTACAATTTACTCCAATTTATTCCAAGACTTTTTTTTTGTTAATTATTTTTAATTATTTAAATTTGCAAAAGGAGTGACATCATTTCGGCTTTAAATTTTTGAATTATTTACTTGTCAGCTGATTGTATTTTGGCGGGAAAAGTTGTCTCTTCCTTGCCAAGAGTTGGTAAGCGATGTTAGCGGACATCTAGAAATTTTTATGAATAAAATTTATTACAAAAAAAAAATTTCATTTGTAAAAAAATAGTGCAATTTAAAAAAAATATATTTTTTAGTTCTAATTTAATAAATTAAGGCGAATAAAAAAATTTAAAGTGTCGGCTAACTTTATTATTATAGATAAGTGTGGTATTTATATATTTTACATGTAAAATATCTGCAGATATGAAAATGATAAATTTGACATTTGTCAAAAAAGTAAAATTTTAAGTAAAAAATATTAAAATTTAAGACGTTAAAAATTTTAATTTTTCTTGAAAAAGCAACACCTTCAATATATAAAATTGGATTGAAAATAATTGAGTACCTTAATAACGGAGACTTTGATTTATTCATCAAGTCTTTTAATTTGAAACTTTCTTTGATTTGTATCTTTTACACTTTAGACTAATTTAAGTCATACCTTCTTAAATTTAAAAACATAAAATATTTCATCCTATTGTGTAACTATTTATTGTTATAACTTATAACTTAATGTTACATAAATCTATGTAATCATTTTATTAAATGTCAAAATTAATTGTTCATATCATCAAAACTATTTTCATTCTATTTTAATTATTTAAAATGCATTTATGATACTGCTTTTTTTTTTTCATCTTTATCTCCATCAATTTCTTCAATATTTACTTTTATTTGTACCTAGCTGTCTTTCTTTTCCGCTAAAAATTTAATCTATTTAATTACACACATTTTTTGTCCAATTTTTTAAACTAATTATTTATTAAAAATAACAAACAAGTCTTTTAAAATTTTTTATTAATTCATTTAAAAAAAACTGCCCGCAAAAATACTTCGCCAATAAAAATTCCGATAAATTAAAATTTTTTAATTTATATAACACCAAATATTCCACCTACAGTTTATACAACAATTAAAAAAGTAATCCCTAAAACAAATATCAAATTATAAATTCATGTTTTGACTTTCACGTCAAAATATTTTTATTTTAAAAATTCCCCTCAATTTAAACACACTGAGTATGATTAAAGAACTATTTAGATTTTCAAGGGACACTCACATTTGACTTTTGCATTAAATGTAATTCCATAACATTTAATATTAATTCAATCAATCATACTTGGAGTTAAAAAAGTTTATTATTTCAAACTTACAAATACTTCCGACGTCAAACTGTGATTTCAAAAGTAATAAATTTAAAATTTATCTGAACCCGGATACAAAAACATTTCAGTAATGATAAAAAGTAAATTTTTCTAATTACTTTTTATAATTAAAAACCATTACTTTATCCCGCAACAAGACAGCTAATTATTACAGATTAATTTTAGTTACAAATATACATGCCTAATAGTTACAAAATACCAATCATCAATATAATGTAACCAAAAGATTCAAACTTAATTAAGCAATAAATGAAAATTGTTCAATAAAAATTACCATTAATTTATCACAATTGTTTTCACTCATTATTTACGATGCATTTAAAAATATTAAACATCTACTAGAGTTTGTATATAATATAAATAAAATTTAATCTATAGAAAACTCGTTTTCATTTTTTATTTTTCCGAACTTTCTTGTGTTAAAAATTTTTATGTTAAATATTTAACACTTTTTTGTATTAATTTAACACAATACATGTTAAATTTACATATAAAAGTGTTAAATATTCAACACAAAATTTTTTGACGCAAAATTTTTTACTGTGTCCTATTTATCTACAATTTATTTACATTTTATCATTTAATTTCTCAAAGTATTCTACATTTTCTTTGATGTATATTTTCAATAACAATTTAAAAATTTTAATTCTAATTTCTTCTCTTATTTCCGCAGGAATATAATAAAATTCTTCAATTGCTAAAAATATTATTTCTTAATAGTAAAAAAGTAAAATTTTAATAAACAAAAATATTTCGTCAATTTAAAATATTCATCTGATATGAAAGTAGGTATGAGAAATTAAAAACAAGTCTTCTTGTCAAGACTATTGCAAAATTAACGAGGAAAAAAATACATACAATATATTTTTAAAAAATAATAAAAAATAATGAATGGAGCTAAATGAGGTTTAGGTAAAGGAAGCAACGCAAGATTTTTAAGTAAAAAAAAAAAAACAATTAAATAAATTGAATATTACAGTACGGGGCCATAAACTTTGATATTAAACCAACAGTGAGGATGTGAAGAAAGCCTGGAGGCATTTATTGACGTTATTCCATTGAATTTGATCAGTATAATTCAATTTTTTATTACTATTGCTATTGACTATTATTGAGATGACTCCATGCGTTATTATAAGACGCACAGGTTGAGGCCAAGTGAAGTAATTAGCCGTGGAGGGACTGAAGTTGGTTAACTCCCGTCTTCATTGACTTTACTTTGGTGTTTGCTGTAGTTACGGTGTCTAATGTCGGAAAAAATGTTTAGATGTATGTAATAGGTACCCTACTGTGTGCTCAGTACTGCAATGCTCTTTATCTGTACTGTATTACATATACTACCTGTCCTCCTGTCCATGAAGACGAGGTTTAGCTTTTTAATGTTGAATATGAAGAACGATTGGTTAAATGTTGGTGGGAGCTATTTGGGTTACTTGTAGCACCCGGGAATGTGGGCCGACTATATACTGGCTCATCACCATCGCTCGACAGTTCATTCCTTCGTCGTGATTCCCAATCGTAAGGTGCAAGTCCTGATCTTCACTCCTCTTCGTATCAACCGAACGTTTCGGCGAATTTTTTTTTATTTTCAAACTTTTTTCAACCAGTTTCGTTGTTATTTTGTTTAGTTTTTATGTAAGTAATTTTTATTAATTTTTTTTTTATAATTTTATACTTAAAAAAATTATTTTTATGAATTATAATGTTTTTAAATTATTTTTATAAAATTTTAATCAACTACTTTTTTTTACTTAATAAAATTTTTTATAAAAAATTCTTTGATAGATTTTAGAAATAAAATTTTTGGATAATTAAATTTTTATTGCCAAAATTCTGAAAAATTTTTAAGTTCTCAAATAAATTGTTTTTATGAATTAAATTAAAAATTTAGAATAAGATAAAAAAGTTCTATAAAAGTTGAAAAAAAAATATATTGACCATTAATTTTTAAATTTAAAAAATTTGACAACTTATTTCAAATTTTTATTACCCAGTATTTAGTAACCTTCTATTTAAAATTATATAATTACCCCACAAGGGCATTGAAACTAAAAAATTACATCATCTTGGATGTTTCTAATTATTTTTTCATTTCTTATCACTTTTTACCAAGTATTTCCTCTCAATAATTATAGTAATGATTTATAGAAATCTTCAATTTCTTAAGTTTTATATTTAACAAATTTAATTTAAAAAAACAACTAGTAATATAATAATTACACCTAGTATTAAAAAAAAGAAAAAAAACATTAATAATTAATCGAAAAACTACAATCGCCAATTTAAAAAAATTACAGTACAATAATGAATGTTTTTTTAATTATTGCACTAGATAAATTTTATTTTTATCAATAAATTATTTTCTTACAATAAAATTAATTTAATTGACTGATTTCATTCAACAGTAGGTTCTGATACTTTTACTTAAAAAAAAAATTCCAACAAAAAAGAACTTAATTTCATCTTTCACCACATAATTAGTGTGAATAAAAAATGTTCCTCTGTCAAAAAAATTAATCATCTAATTAAGAATACAATCTCACAAAAAAATTAAAACCAACTTGTTTACAAAATAACAAAAAAAAAGTTTAAAAGAAGCACAATGAATTAAAATCAGGGCCAGTTTCGATTACCGAGAAATAATGAGACTTAAAACAAAAAAAAATATCTAAAGAGCTGAAACGAAACCATAACGTCTGATCTCGTGCATCTCCATGAAACAGTGGCAAAGCCGGCCAGTTAACGGTTACCGTGACACCGTGCTGTACATAACATACGCTTTTTATTCTTCTTAGTCTCGGTATTCTTCTTCTTCTTCTTCTTCTTCTTCATGTTCTTGTTCTTCCTCCTCCTTAAAACTTAGTCTTGCTTTATTTCTTCTTTTTATATATCTTCATTCTCAAATGGTATTGTCAATAACATACGCAGTACGCGTAGCACGTTCTGGTAATTTACACCATAAGAAATCCAGCTGACACGATTCTCGTATCCGTCTCTCCTTACTTCGGTTTTCTCGATTAATTAAAATATTAGCTCTTATTCATTTTGTCCGTCTGCAAATAAATTTATCATTAGTAAAGAATAAATGATAAATAATCTGTGATAAAATATCGGCAATATCCATTTATTGATTTTAAATTTAAGCATTAAAAATTTTCTTAATAAATTATCCGGTATGTAGCATAACGGTTAAATATTTAAGTTGTTTTTGTACACTGCCGTGGGCTACAATAATTATGGAAATGATTTTTTTTTGTTGTAAATTTATTTGTTGGATTAAATGTCCGCAAGGAGATAAGAAAAAGTTAGTATATGGACATACAGGAATTCAATACATAGTTGGAAAAATTTCAAAACTTGTATCATTACCGGTACAGGGCGTTCTGTAATTCCTTTGGTAAATATATAATACAAAGAGCGGACATGTCCATTTGAAATAAAATTTAAGTCCTGAATTTATTTATAAGACTCTGTACTGTACTGTTATATCGTTCATCGTCAATTTTAAACTAAAATATTTACTTACGAAACTTTCTAATGTGTTATTACGTCGCGGTATGTGTCAATGTAACGAAAAGAATTATCAAGTATTTAATTATAATCATTAGCAATAATTTTTAGCTTGTTTCATTTAGTTTACATTATTAAATTAATAAACTGTTTTAAAAAATTACAAGTTTGATAATTTTTTATTTTATTTATCTTTAAAAAAATTATTAATAATTTTTTTTTGACTGAAATAAATTTTTTATTAAATTCAACAAAATAAACAGAAATAATTATACAAAATAAAAAATTTCTCAATAAAACATAAATATAATTTATTGAATATAAATAAATAAATGACAAGTCAATAAATAACTTAAAAAAAAAAATGTTAAAATTAAAATTTTTATTTCTTCTTTAAATTTCTTCCGAAAAAATAAAACAAAATAATTGCAAAGTTTTTAAAAAAAAGCAACTTATGCATCAATAAAAAATCTTTAATAATAATGGAATAAAATATATTGCATAGATCTGCAATAAAATAAAGAAGAAATAAATATAATTAAAAATATAACGAAATTTTGGCGACAAATTACATACAATTATTATCAATAAAAAAAAATCCTGTATTTATCTACTCTTATCTATCTATCCAAATAAATTGTTATTATGTAACAAGCATAGCCACAAGTTAATAATAAAAAACGCACAATCATCATCAAATCGTTAAAGTTCTACTTTCTCTATCGGCTGTTACATTAGTTAGTTATTACCCATTAGTTATTAACCATTAACCATCAGTCAGGTCTAGTCTACACGTGTGTACATTAACGTTAAATATAAATAATAACAAGTTGAGCTGCAAGGTGTAGCGATTATATATATCAGGGGATGTAGTATGAGTATTATATGCAAAAGCTTGAGTCTCGTGATCATATCATGCAATATGCAATGCATTCGATTGCGTCAATATAAACAGTATTATACATTAAGTTACATGTCTCTTGTTAATGCTTGTCTTGTTTTTATTTTCTTCTCAACATTTTTCATTAATCAATTAATGTTAATGGTGAAGAATGTTTTTTCTTTAAGATTTAATTATCCGTGATTTATAATGATTAATGATAATAATCAGGCGGTTTTATCCAATTAAACTTACTTGTGAGTAGATTAATAGAAAGGGTTTTTTAATCATCATAATAATTATGGTAAAATGACTTAGTTATTTATTTATGTAGCAGAGTAATTTTGGTTTAAATATTACTAGTCATCAGTATAAATTGTTTGTAATGATTGTCGAAATATTTCTTCGGAGTTTTTTAATCAAGGTAATGATTCTTCAATTATCGATCTTTTTTTACGCTTAAAAATTAAGTTTTAGAGAGCGTTTAGAGATATTTTTATTTTTATACTTCATTTGTTTTTATTGATAAATTTTTTTAGGATTATTTGGGTTAATTTGGCGAGAAGAAATAGTAAAAGTTAATAATATATGAGATAGTAATTTTTTATGATCAATAATCGAATGTTTGTTTGATTTAATTGTTTTTTGGTCGTAAACGTTTTTGAAGCGTGCAGGGGAAATTAGTCATCAAAGTTAATTACTGGAAATTTATTTAAATTAATTAGACTATTATTAAGAAAATCTTAAACAGATTTACTTTTTATTTTTTTAAATAAAAATTTTCAATTTTACTTTCATAAAATCAATTGTTTAGTTTTTTTTTGGTACTTTAAAATTATTTTAGAAAAATTAACTTTTATAGAAATTTTTATTTTTATTGGATTAAAATTTTATGATTTTTTATTTACAATATTAAAAAATTTTGAAAACAATTTTAAGAAAGAAGAAATGTTTAAAATTAATAATTAAAATAATTATTTTACTTCCATTAAAATAAATTATTTAGTTTTTTTTTGTACTTTAAAATTATTTTGAGAAAATTAACTTGTATAGAAATTTTTATTTTTACTTTATTAAAATTTTATGAATTATTATTTGCAATATTAAAAAATTATAAATTAAATATTAAGAAAGAAAAAATGATTAAAATTAATAATTGAAATAATTATTCACTAAAAATAAAAACTAACGAGTTTGATTACAATAAAAATACTAAAATAATTTTTCAATAAAAAACACTGCAATTACGCTTTATGTTCTAAGAATCCTTGAAAATGTAAACGTTTCAGAAATTGGATAGAAAATTCTAGTAAAAAGAAGAATAAGTTTCACTGATATTGTATTATTACGAATTACTCTCGGTGATTTAATGGATTACAAGATATAATCCTGCTTTATTAGGAAAACAACAATCCTAGCCGGACTAGCATAGATCTATAAAGGAAGAAAAAAATGTTAGTACAAGTACTAACTACGAAAACGTTTAAGATTACGCAAAAAAAATGATTGTTTATTGCAGAGCAATTTTTGCCTCGGTTGGATTCATATTTGATAATATTATTTTTCTTTAATTTGAAGTTGGGTAATTCAAGTGTCTGATTACATACTTTCCATTTATCTTGGCTGAAAAATTTTAATTTTTTAACAAAAATTAAAAAACGTAAAAGTCAGCGGTTGGGAATAATCAGGCCTTTTACTCGCCGTTTACCCTTATCGATTCTTCGTCATGTTCTCAAAGAGATATCGATCGTCACATGTTGCACGATCCAGTATAAATAAGTTACGACATTTCACATTGGAATTTCACGTGATTCCATAATACCTATCACACACTGCATCTATTATATATTTTTATTGAAACAATTTTTAATATTTTTTAATTCATATCTTCGTAAATAAATTGTCACTAGAAATACAAGTTATTATATGCAATATTCTCGGGCTTAATTTAAATGTCATGGGAAATTAGCTATTAATATTTTATCCTGATTAGAGAGCAACTCTAAAAATTTGTTTGATAAATCTCATTAAAATTTTTCATTGAATATTTATGAAAACTTTCAATTTCTTTCTTTATTAATTATTGTTATTAAAACACTTAGAGAGGCTATTAAATATAAATACCCGGTAATAAAATATTTTTATTAGTCATTTGTTTCGCTCTATTAAGTAATTTATTATTGTGAAAACTTCAAATTTTTTGATTAATATTTAATATAATTTTGCGTGATATTAAAATTAGCAAACAATTTTTTTTTTTTTCATTAAATTAGAGCTAAAAAAATATTGCCGTATTTTTTTTACAAATTTTCTATATGTAGAATTAAAAAAATAAATTATTTATAATTTATTCCTAAAAATTAAACATCCAAATCTCTAAATAAACATATTTATTTTCAATACAAAAAATGCCAATTAAAAAAAAAATAAAAAAAAATCTGTGAAAGTTACCTAAATTTACAATTCAAACAAAATTTCTCAATTCTTGCCCAAACAAACCAATAATTATTTCTTCAATCAAAATATCATCCGCTACTCTAATTAACTAAACTGTCACCCCGTATAAGGATGAATAAATTAAAAAAAAACATACGTGTAACTTAAAGAGCTCATCAGAATATCATTAAATTACGATTACGAAGTTCGCCTTGATTCCGTTTACGAACAAACAATTCTTACTAGGTCATTTCAACCCCACTATCAATCCCAATCCATATATTAATCTCAATCCCTTTTATTTGCAAATAAATAAAACATACATTACATATCTCACTCATCCTTAGTCCATACTAACGACGTGAAGCTATAATAAATTAAGTAAGAATAAATAAATAAATAAATAAATCAATAAATAACATATCAGCGCATCAAACCAATTTCGAAAGTCTCGGTCATCGAAATGACCTTGGATCAATAAAATTATTAAATTAAACAGTTAATAATTATCATAGTCTTCACTCTTTAAAGCCTATTTTTAAAAAATTATAAATTTAAATCCGTCTTTCTCTTAAATAATAAAAATAGGATATTTTATTTTTACAATTTACAGTTTACAACTGCAGACGGTAAATAGTGCGGTCAAATATGTTAATTAATGAGCTACATTTGTCTCGGGGCGAGTGAAAGTGACATTAATATTTGACGAGGACATTATTTATGAGTAAATGAATCTTCCGTACAATTGTTAAGTATTAAATGTATGGAAAAAATTAAATATGAAAGGAAAACAATTATTTAGTTAACTCAAAATTAAGCAACCTACAAGAATAGATGAATAGATATTTTTTTCAATACAATAACATCATAAAATATATTTGTTACATCTTACAAAATTTTTATGAATACACGTTGGGTAATTTTATTTATTTATTTATTAACTATGTTATAAATTTCATAGTAATTTTTATTTTTTAAATTAAAAAATATTTTTTTGATGTCTGAATTTTAATGTAATTTATACTAATACAATGTAATAAAATTTACGAACAAGCTAATAAATAAGTTTGTATGTATATTACGGTATAATGTATCATAAACATATATATGTACGCGTCCTAACGGACCATCACCTCGTGATTGCAGTTATTCTGTACAAAACAATGCCGTTTACAAAGTTTATAATAATAACATCTGACCATCAAACCCCGTGGCCCAGTTAATGTCCCACTACCCACTATTGGGTTTCAATGCTCTGGTTTTAATTTATTTTATTAAAATTAAGGATCATGAAACAGAAAAATTTCAATTTAAGTCACTTGAGTAAAAAAAACTTTCTTTATTTCTATTAAAATCACCAATTTTTACTCTTCTTTTTTTTTGGATCAGAAAATTCAACAATTTTTTAAGAATAATTAATTTTAATCTTTTAAAAGTAATTTTTTTTTAATTATTAAATTTATATGTCATTTTAATATTTAAAGTCGCTGACAATTTATTTATTTTTAATTAAACTAAACAAAATTTAAAAAATTAATATTTATCTTAAAAATTTATGAAATTTCACCATAAAATATTTTTTTAAAACAAGAAAAATTAAAAAAAAAAAAAAAAGTTAGCAGACATTTAATAATTTTTAGAATTTTTCTTATTGAAAAATTTACTACAAAAAAATTTTTTTCCAAATAATATAATTATAATAATAATTAAAGATAAATTTTTTCGAGCTAATTTTATTTTAAATGAATTATAATTATTTATGACTCGAACTTAGTCGTCTTCTTCTATAATTTATCTCAAAAAAATTTTCCAATCTTAAAAAATTATTTTTTTACACCCAAATAATAATAATAATAATAATAAAATAATTTGTTACAGATAACAATGAAGTCAGCATTATTTTTACTATTCTTCGGGATCGTTGCTGTAACAGCGCAACGGCGACTGGCGTTACCTGATCCAAGAAGCTGTGCAAATCGTAAGATTATCATTAAATCTAAAATAATAATAAATATCCAGCGTCTCAGTACACTCTCCACCAAAGTCATTAATAACAAATTCACTTTAAAAATTTTTCACATAATTCAGAGGGTAATTAATCATTGTATATAACTTACTATACAAGAATAATTTACGCTGTACCGACCAGTTAATAGTTTTCGTGACGATTATTTTCTCAAAACTTTCTATGTTATTAATCTACGTACCCGTAGAGGATAATATTTAAGTAACATTGCTTTAAACCGGAGGTTAAATACCTCAAGGATCGTGTTAAGTAGTGAAAACAAAATAACTAATACTTAATAGTTGATATTTCAAGAGACTCTATACTAGATGAATCATAGCTATAAATATAAAGATTATAAATTATTAAAACTTTCGATCTTTAATTTTAACTGCATTTGTAAGTCAATACTTTCTTCTATTAGATTGACAATAATTAAATGTAAATTTTTTTTTGAAGATCTTTTCTTCTATTATATAACAAATAATAGAAATTATTTTATCCTCGCTGTTTAAGTCTAATTAAACTGTTACTGTCTATTGTCTATAATTTATTCTATAAATGTTATTTAAATATTTACAATAATTACAGGAGTACGTCATGCATCGTACAGAGATGCTCGAGGTGTAGCTCATTCATATTTCTTCAGCTGGGAACACCAGCCGACGAGAAGTCTAGAAGTTGATTGGCTTGACTCACGTAATATTTGCCGTCGTCATTGTATGGACGCGGTATCATTAGAAACACCACAGGAAAATGAATTTATTAAACAGAGAATCGCTCGAGGTAATTTATAAATTCTATTGAATTTATTTTATTTCATTTTTTTCACGATTAACATGCTTAGTTGTTGACTGCCTACTTTCACTCGCTGGTGACAAACAAAATTACATGCTATTGTTATTATTGTTTATAAATTTAAATTAGAAAATAAATCCCCGAGGGAAAATTATATTAATTATAAAGATATCACTGTGCAGATCTTAATATGAAATTAATATCCGTGAAGTGACAATTTCTTTTTCCTGAGACTTGAGATAAAATTGCAATTATTATTTTAATCTTTTACTTTTGTTAGTTGTGAACTACTTAATTGTAATTTCTCTCGCTAATTTTATTGTCTTTACAATAATAACATTTTTATATTTTTTTTTTTTTTACTGAGATTTAATCACTCATATCTTCTTTATATTATTTTTTAAAAACTCGGTCATTTATAAAAATATATTATAAATAAAATAATAAAAATTACTTTCACTGTAATTAAACAAAAATGTTTTTACTTTCTGTATTAAATAAAAATTAAGGTCACTGATAAATTTATATAAGTGAAGTAAAAGTATCAGTACTAAAAAAAGTTGAACTAATTAATTGCAATTTAACAGATTAATTGCTGTTTTTTGTGGAAGAAAAGGCCGAAAATAATTACTAAAGTTTGGACTTTCAAAATGATAAAAAATTTTAATATTTAAATAACAATTTTGGGAATTTGGACAATAAATGAAGATATTAAATTATAAAAATAAAACTTTTCTTATAATTTTTTATTGAAGAAATTATAATGCAATTCTTATAATTTAATATCTTCCTTTATTGTCCAAATTTTCAAGATTAACTTTTTTTAAATATTTTAAATATGATAGAGAACTTAAATATTAAAAATTTTAAATTATTTGGTTGAAAAAACAGGAAACATAAGATACATCTGGACGTCAGGACGCAAATGTAACTTCAATGGATGTGACAGACCAGATCTCCAGCCCCAGAATGTCAACGGATGGTTCTGGTCAGGCTCTGGAGCCAAAATTGGACCCACTACACAGCGTAATACTGGTGACTGGAGTAACACTGGTGGATATGGCCAAGCTCAACCTGACAACCGTGAAGCTGCTCAGGTAATTTAATTTACTTAATTTTAAAAAATAAAATTAGTAAAAAATTAAACTAAAATAAAATGAGTAAAAAATTAAACAAAATTATTTTTCTACCTAATTTTTAAGCTTGAATACTTATCGAATAAAATAATAATAAATATGTTGTCTATTAATCTAGGGTAACGACGAATCCTGTCTCGCTATTCTGAACAACTTCTACAACGACGGTGTCAAGTGGCATGACGTAGCTTGTCATCATCTCAAACCGTTTGTATGCGAAGACAGCGATGAACTTCTCAACTTTGTAGCGTCTCGAAACCCTGGCATTCGTCTCTAAAATAAAAATAAATAATTAAAATAAGGATAGATAAAAAAACAAACAAGATATCATAAATGAAAGAGATTAGTTTTTATACATATGATTATGATTGTGAATTGTGCTTCATCTCATTTATTTTTTTAAACTTCAGTCTATTTATATTGTACTAACATATCTTCTTATAGTGATTAATTAATTAAGGTTAGTAAAAGTTAATTGCAATAAAACGACTACCTGGTACATGAATTTTTATCATTATGAAGATATGCGATTAAAAATTTTTATTACTTTCTACAATAGTATATTCAATTCGTTTTAAATTCAATGCTTAATGCTAAATTAAATTACTCAACATGTTTTATTTACAATTTCATTAGTTGTTTTCTTCTTATTCTATTCATGTAATTTTTATTATGTAGAGAAACAGATGAGAAGTCATTGAAAAATAGAGTATTGTGTTAATCTTCATGTAGAATTTTTAGACTCCGGATTGAATAATGTGCTAATTGTGTAAGTCAATAATTATTTTAAATTGTAAAAATTAGAGATTTAGTTTTATTAATTAATGATAAAGTTTAATGTACTTATTTTTTTTTTAACAAATAAAATGTTTTATTGAAAATTTTTTTTTATTTTTTCCCCCAAATAAATTATTATTATTATTATTATTAATATTAAAGTAATAGTTAATAAAAATTATTCTAGATTTTAGAATAAATTTTGAAAAAAAATTAATTACAATAATAAATAAAAAATTACATTTTTTTATTTTTAAATTAGCGATACAAAAATTACAAAATTAATTTTTTTTTCTCCAATAATTACTTTATAAATTAACTAAATTAATGAATTATCAATTATTTTTTTTATAAACCAAAAAGAAATTCAATATTTTTTAGTAAAAATAAATATATGGCACATTAAACTAAATTAAAAAAATTGTCCATATTAAATAAAGTAAAATTCTAGAAATTATGCTTGTTATAAAAAGAAAAAAGAGTAATTAAAAAAAAAAAAAAAAGTATTTAGAGAATTTAATATAAATGTTTTTCATGAATAAAAAAAGAAATGAATTTTAAATGAGCTTGTGTATGAAATGGAATTAACTTATTCTTATCAATAATTAATTAACAACGGAACTATCTGTTGAAAGTGAGACAAAATTGTTTATTGTTAAGTAGGAGTTTAGTTAAATTTAAATAATTCTATTGTTTTCTATATAAAATTGCATATTAATCACGGAAACATTAATTAAACATAGATAATTTGAATAAAAGATCCTGAGTCGCGATAATTTATTCAAATAATGCAATTAGTATATGCAACAACTTTTGAGTAATAAATTATAAACTCGAGATTAATCTCAGGAAATTTTTATACTTTTCAACAATTAGTTTTTATTAATTAAGTTAGCCGACATTTAAAAATTTTTACAATTTTTTTTTATTGAAGAAAATTAAAAAAAAAATTGACTTGTAGAAAATTTGAAAAATTGTAAGTGCAGTTGAAAAAAAATATTTTTTAGTTTTAATTAAATAAATAGGCAAAATCAAAAAATCAAAAATGTCGGCTAACTTTATTGTTATAAAACTTACTATAAATCAACTCAAATTTTTAAATATCAAAGTTTAATAGTTTTTATTGCATTGAATGAAATTCCAATTAAAAAAAGTAAAAAAAAATTAAATTATATCAATAGAAAAATTGTATTAAAAAAAAATTATTAATCTATTTTCATAATTAATATCAATAAAAAAAATTCCGTTTAATTAATTAATAAAATTGCTAGCTCTAACAACAAGCAGAGGCTTATTCAAGAGTACACAATTATCAAACTCAGCTTCGACGTCTGCTGCGCGCTGCTGAGACGTAAAATAAACCCGGCAGTATCTCATGTTACTCGGTTCATAAGTCAGGATGTTTGTCGCAGCAATGGGATGATACTTGTCCACCATCTGTAGAATCGCATGAACATTGACTCCCTCGGGGATGTTGGCCACCAGAACTTCCACAGCGATTTTCTCTATGGGGACTCCTGCTCCTCCTTCCATTGGAGAAGTCCTTGCCATTGACAATTTCGCAGTCTTGGCAACTAAGTCCGGAATCTGGACCTCAGAAATCGTCGACCGCTGATCACTTTTGTCATTGTCTTCATGACGATGCTCCACCAGTGGTTCTACGATTGAAACCGGAGGCTCAGACGACTGAACATTGTTGTTTATACTCTTATCAGCGTAACTTGATACTTCTTCCAGCTCTGTGGTCTCTGTTGTTTTTATTTCGGTGTTTACTTCACTCGATATCGGTACAGAAAAATCATCACTTGTTGATTCAACAATTTTATCCTCACTAACGTTAAAACAATCAGTTTTATTGTCATTATTATTATAATAATAATAATTATAATTATTACTTCTATTACCATTAGAATAATTTTTCCTGCCATTTTCATTGGAATAATTATTTTCACCACTATTTCCATTGGAAAAATTATTATCATCATTATTATTGCTTCCATTGTTAAAATCATTGGAATGCTTCGGGCGATTATCTTTAATTGGACGCAGTCTCAAGTCAGAGCGACCTTTGACTCCCGCTGCAGCTTTCAAAGCATCCTCTTCAGTCTCAAAATTAACAAAGCAAAGACCAGTATCGCCTCCGGTTTGTTTTACACGCTTAATTTTACCGTAGACTGAAAATATTTCGTGCACTTGATCTTCACTGATGGCGTTGAAGTTCTTGAAATTAACAGCAAAGGCGTTGAACCGCGTGGCCATTACAAAGTCTTTGGGTTCCATTGTCTCGTCGTTATTGACGTTATTATTATCACTAGAGTTATTATTATCAGTAGGATTGGGTGTTGGTATTGTCTTACTTGGTTGCTCGGTGAATGTTTTTGTCTTCTTTGATGAGTTGTTGTTGTTGTAATTATTGTAGTTGGTGTAATTGTTGTAATTGTTGTACCTGGTGTAATTTTGGCCACGGTTGGCAGATGAGTTGAATGATTGAGGTGCTGATCCAAGTAATCTTTGGGAAGATGTTAAAAATTGCTGCTTTTGCTGGTATTGTGTCAAAAGGCCCAGGTAGACTAATTGGAACTGAAGCTGCTCTTGCCACGAGATGTTACTTTGTCTTTGAGGCGTCCGGGGCACAACAGCACAATGGAAGCTTTGGAATTGAAAATTGTAATTGCTATTACCGCCGATAGGCTGTTGCCAGCGAGCCCGGTTTACGTGCATTGTTTTTTTTTTATTTTTTAAAAACTTAGTTTAAAAACAATTTTTTTTGTGGTAAAAAAGCAATTTTTTGTTTGATTAAAAGCTTGATAGAATTAATAATTGATTGATAAAATAACTTTAAAATGCTTCCGGTGAGGAATGGCGAGTGAATTTCAGATGGCGTTGTAGTGGAGGAGAATTAGTGAGGAAATAACTGTCTAAAAGTTTACTTTTTTTAATTATTCATTATTTTTAAAGTAAATATAATTTTTTGTTAATTTTTGTTTTTAGATTGTTAATAAGATGATTTTTTTTTTTTTTTTTTTTTTGGGAAGTAGTTAATAGTAGTAGATAAAATTATAGTAATGGTTTTTAAAAAGAGATGGAGTTACAGTGAATTTTTTAAATCATGAATAATTAGAATTTTTAGTTTTGAATATTATTAAAATAAATTATTATTTAATTTTTGGAATTTATTTAACAAATAAATTATATTTATAATTATTAGAGTAGTATTCAAAAAAATTGCATTTGTGGTTTTTTACAATTTCTAAAAGAATTTATTTTCTAAATTTTTTTTTGTCCGTTCATTTAATTGTTATTAATTTTTTCGATATTGTTTAATTTTTTTTTTTAAACTAAAAATAGATTTATTGTAAAAATATTTCTGCAAATTACCATTTGAAATTGAAGGTAAGGAAGTTTCTTTTGAACTTCATTTTTTCCACTCAAGATGTCATCACAAACTAGCTAGTTTTTTTTACAACTTTATTTAAATCTTAATTAAAATTTCTTCAATAGATTCTCGAAAAAAATATTTTAAAAATTTATTCAAAGAATTTCAGCTTATTTATCAAGAATTAAAAAAAAAAACTTTTTTAAAAAATTTAAATTTTCCCGCTAAAATCATATTAATGGCCGTCGCGCATGCGCATTATAAACTGTCAAGTGAGTCAACATAATTCCTCATATAAAAAAATCCTGCTGATTTAAAAAAACACAAAACTTATATTAAACTTAATTACATTAATTATTTCAATTAATTGTAAAATAAAAAAAGAGCGTAATTTAAAATATTTAAAAAAATACAAATTACTTTGTCTATAAAAAAAAAGTAAGAATTCTTAAAAAAAAAAAATAAAATTTTTTACAAATAAATTTTTCAAAATTCCACATAAAAATTTCAAAGAAATTTAAAAAACTTCGTAAGTATTGGCGGGTACAGAAGAAATTTGCGTTTCAATCCACAAACACGAGACCAAATCTCTCGAGCGGGGATGACTAACGAGCGTCAGCGATTGGCTGGCGCGACTATGGCCGCCGTAGTCGCGCGCATCAACAAAACTATTCGGTTCTTGCTCCAATAACCAGTAAAGTGTCTAACTATCTCTGTCTTGATCAAGATCTCCATCTCGGTGTGCAAGCAGTGTAGTGCGGCTTCTATCAGACTAGACTCGGCCTGACTGCCCAGACTTGTAACCCGTAGGTTTTAGTTTTAGTAAATCAGTGATGCACGCACACGCGTGTCGTACAGGTCGTCTGTAAATTAAGGAAAAACTTTTTTAGTTATATTATTCTATATTCTTTGTACTTGTACATACAAATCCGATACCCCGGTCAGGAGAATAGATAATATTGAGAGGAGTGAACACAGAAAAATAAAAAGAGGAACCAGTAAACCAACTGACTAGTGTTGCGGCTAGCGTGGTACGTACATACCCGGAGCAGACGTTGTGATAAAGAAACAGAAACAACCGGAGCGTTGCCTTGTATGGTGGAATTATTCCAGTCAGTGATGTTTCTTCAGTTAACGTTGTTCCCTTTCATATTTTAATAAAAAAAAAATAGTAATAATAATAATTATTATTATTAAAAATAATTTTATTTTTTTTTTCTGTGTAAAATAGTTGACATATATATATATATATATTTAAATAAAAAAATTATTTATAAATTTATTTATAAAGTGCAACTGGAAGGGGAACACGTCGTAAAGAAGCGACCTTGAAAACGCGTATACGTAAAACTCGACAATCCGTCAAAACTAGACGATACACCATTTTATATGACGCGTGTGTATACGATAAAACAGTAATAATAATAGTAAAATAGTAATTGAAGATAATAATAATAAATATATTTACTAATAATCAATTTAATGATTGAGAAGAAGGCTAGAGAAATTACACAGTGAGTGATAAAAAAAAAGGTATATGTTTTTGGTGACGTTATAACCTCAAATCTGTGGTCTGTGTTGTGGGGTTGAGGTTTGTTATTGAATTGACTGATAAGTTTTTCGGTCTGTTGATTGATCGGATAATTGGAGTTGATCATTGAGTTTTGGTTTAGTTGATTTTAGTTTTTATTATATTTTGAGAGACCTGTTGAGAGTAGTTGGTGGAGTAAAATGTTACAGCACGGGGGATCTAGTGTGGGATTGATTGGAGGAAATGGGCAAGGGGCACAAAATACTGGCGGGTATGGCAGCATGGGCCAGGTTGACGGCTCCGGGGGCCAGGGCCCCGAACAAGCTGTTGAAGCTAGGAAGCAAGATATTGGAGAAATTTTACAACAGATTATGAATATTACTGACCAGAGTTTGGATGAAGCACAGGCTAGGTATGTTTTTTATTTTATTTTAAGTAAGTTTTTATTTATTATTATTATTATTAATAATAATAATAATAATAATAATAATGTCATAAAAAGGGCTTAATGATTTGGTTTAATGTCAATTTAAAATTAAATGTTTATTGGAGTAAATAATCTTGGATTTATTTTTTTACTCCAATTTTAAATATAATAAAATTTTATAATTTTTTTTATTAAAAAAATGATTATAAAAAAATTTTAAAAAAATCTTTTTATTTGTAAGAAACTTCAAAAACTATTATTAATAATAATAATAATAATAATAATAATAATAATAATGCCATCAAAAAGGGCTTAATGATTTACTTTAATATAATTTTTAAATGTCAATTTAAAATTAAATGTTTATTGGAGTAAACAATTCTGGATTTATTTTTTTACTCCAATTTTAAATATAATAAATTTGTAAAAAATCTTTTCATTTGTATTTTTTAGTTCTAATTTAATAAATTTAACAAAATCAAAAGATTAAAAATGTCGCCTAACATTATTAATTTGTAAATAATAGTCAGTTTATTTTTAAATATTTATTTTTATCTAATAGTTTTTTTTAATGCAATTTTTTGATATATTTTAACAATACTCCAAAATTTATTAGACTTATTTGAAAATAAAATATTTAAAACAAAATAAATAAATAAAATAAAAAATTAAACTTAAATTTAGAGCAATTAATAGACGAAAAAATTGTTTTACAAAATTCTTGGTTAGATAATAAATATCTCCAAGATAAGAAAAGAATTTAATAAATAACATCACTAGTAATTGGTATTTGAAATAAAATTAACGAATATGATAATGATAATTATGATAAATTAAAGTTAATTATTTACAGCGTTGTTTTTAAAATATTGACTAAATATTGAAAGATTTAAAGCGTTATCTCATATATTTATTTTCATTAATTAACAATTCATTACCATGCATAAATTCTCATTAAAAATAAATAAATAAATAAATAATAATTAATTACTGCAAAAACTCACTGGTTATTTATTATCATTGGGCTATGAATATGCAATTGTTATTAATTTAAAATGAGAGACAATTAATTAAAAAGATATTTGATAAAAAATTAAGATAGATTAATTCCATTAGTCTACTGTTGCTAGCGATAAAACAAAAAAACGTGCGCATAAAAGAAAAATAAAAACAAAAAGAGTATGTATTTGCCGAGTGTAGTATAATTATCTCGTTAAACGATGCTTATCGTTATTGGAATACTATTAGAGATATAGAATTACTACGGAATAATGCAATTAAGGAATCAAAGTGTAATTTCACAATTAAAGTTATTTAACTAATTAAATATTTATAACACTTTAATGTTTCATTTCATCTATTGCTTAACAAGTATCATCAGTACTATTTACACTTTTTTTTACTATATTTATTATCACTCCAACTTTTTTAAATTAAAGCGTTGGGATTCGAATTAATTTTCTATAAAGTTTGAATTTTTTTTAATCTAATTTTTTTGGTATCAATAATAATATTTTGTTTTTATTCCAGAAAACATACGCTGAACTGCCATAGAATGAAGCCGGCATTATTTTCGGTGCTCTGCGAGATAAAGGAAAAAACAGGTGAGTTTATTTAATGATTAAAAAATAATTTTTTTCTATAAATATGTAATGTATAACATACAATCCATTATCAATTTTTTTCAAATTTATTATCAATGATACCTCACGTGTGATCAAGTGTTTACTGTCAAACAACTTGTAAAAACATTCTAAATCGATTATTCCTTATCTTATCCGACGTACTACGTTCTAGACCCATTAAAAATATAATGATTTATTAATCATCAATCTATTCAATTCTAGACATAATTAATGGGTTCCGTTATCTTTAATTTACAATTTATTACTCGCGATACATTATGTCATTTTTTAAATCAGCCATTTTTATACACTGCGCATCATATTTTGCCATAAAAAAATACTAACCCGGCTTTGTCAATTTAAAATTATTTAAAAAAAATTTATTTCTCAAAAATAAAATTAAAAATCAAAAATTTCTTACAATAAATTTTT